ATGATGCCAACATATGTACAAATGTGCCTGACACAATGAATGGATGGATGGATAGTGATAAGAGTTGTACCAGCCCCCAATAAAATGATTAAAAAAACCAAAAGAGTAGGAGCCTTGGCTGTACAGTAGGCTACATGTTGGGCTGCTAACCTCAAGGTCAGCTGTTCAAACCCATCAGCCACTCTGAGGGAGAAAGATGAAGCTTTCTACTCCTTGATGCCAACATATGTACAAATGTGCCTGACACAATGAATGGATGGATGGATTGTGATAAGAGTTGTACCAACCCCCAATAAAATGATTTAAAAAACCAAAAGAGTAGGAGCCTTGGCTGTACAGTAGGCTACACGTTGGGCTGCTAACCTCAAGGTCAGCTGTTCAAACCCATCAGCTACTCTGAGGGAGAAAGATGAAGCTTTCTACTCCTGTAAAGATGTAAAGTTTTAGAAATCCACCGGGGCAGCTAGTTCTACTCACAGGGTAGCAATGAGTCAGAGTAGATGCAATGGCAGTGTTTGGAATTTTTGCATACTTTATAGCAGTCCTTGAAAAACACAGACAGGTTGATAATACACCATGGCCGGGACTGACTCTCAATGTGAGGAAAGATCCCTGCCAACTCATACCTGCTAGAGGGCACCTTTCTGACCAGGGCACTAGCCAGGACACTGACTGCCCTGCCAGTGAATCAAGACCAGCACATTCTCTCCGTGGACGCTCGCACACCAGGACAAGACCTGTGTCCAGATGTGACTATAGTCTCTGATGGCAACTGGCTTGCAGCAGCAGCGGTAGCCTTGGCATTTATTTCTGGTAAGACCCATGGTACAGCCACACATTTTATTCTTTAAAGGGAAGTAAACCATTCCAGACCTTTATTAAGCTAGCGTTTAATAACTAGAAGAGGCCTAGGAGGAAGGCTCCCACAAGTGGGTGTCTTTGTTAGCTTGCTACAGCTCCCCAAATAGGAATACCCATTATCTAGCTGGCTTTACATTTTTTAATAATTGGAAGCCTGAAAACCAACAGCCTGCCAGTCCAGTCTGGCCATCAACCGGCTCTTTCTGGTCTCCCTTTTCAGAAAAGCCTGGCATCTCTGGGGAGGATGGGGATGGGGTTAGCCCCAGGTGCAGAGGAAGAAAAAGCTGCAGTTAAGAAGGGCCCCTTGAAGCCGAACCACTGGGGAATCCTGGTGGGGGAGGGGGAACCCAGGGCACACCAAATCACAGTGGACTTTAAGTCATCCCACAATTATGTTACCAGGAGGAGGATCACTCCTTTGTTCTTGTCCTGCTGGCTCCCAGGAAAGATTTCAGGCAAAGGGACAAAATTCAGACCAGAATCAGAAAAAGGGTTTGACCAGAAAGAGTAAGCTTGTTGCAGGGGAGACTTTGGAAAAGAAGTCTTAAGGGCCCTTAGCGAGTCTAAAAGGTCTGGCAGAATGTAGAGCCTAACCTTACAGTCTGTTAATGGTAGCTCTCGCACCATAGGCTGGCTTTCTGGCAAGTCTCCTGCTATTGGCTGGTCCTCTGTAGTGTACCTCCTCTTTCCACATAGGTGCTTCCTCTCCCCCCTACACTTCATGCTGTGCCCTTGTCTCACACCCCAAACCTAGGAGTCTGTTCAGTCATTGTGGGGGTAGTGTGAATATCTTGTCTTTCCCCACCCAGCCTTTTCACGATCTCTGGCTTCTTGCATTGATTAAGAAATGTGTCCTATCTACCCTTCGCCTTCCTTTGTGCTGGGAGGTGAGTCTGGGGAACGGTCTCTACCTCTCCTTGGTGTTACCGTTCCTGCCAGCACCACCTCTTCTCCCTTTGCTGGCCTCTGTCTGCCTAACAAGATGTTCAGTTTCTGCTTCCTGACTACCTGCCTGGTTGGTTCAAAGAACTGGAGTTCTTTCTTGATGAGAAGGATGAGTTCTCTCATTTGTTGCACTCACTACATTCACCAAGTGCCTTGTTCTAAGGGGCAAAGGGATCGCAAATTCTAATATATTTTAGAGACCCCGTCATTAAGTCTGAACCGGGACAGAGGCAGGAAAAGAGCCAAAAACCAAAACCAACTGACAGGATGAGGGACACAGGGTGGTTTTTCCCCTGAATGCCTGCACTAGCGGAAATTGGCTGACAAGGCCACAATAAAGGAATTGCAGGGAAGACAGGCATATAGCTGGCACTGATGGGAAAACACTAGGCACCGGTGATGAGACATCACAGAAGTGCACATGAACTCAGCCAATAAGGTTGGCCAATACCCTCAACCACACCTCCCCAGCCAGTGAGGCTAGGAGGGGAGAAAGCCCAGACTGGGAGCAAGCTCTCCTGCAGGTCAGAGGGTGGGGATGCACAGGGTCCCTTAGCCTTGCGCCCTTGGGATTTCCTGCTCTTGGTATCACAGTCCGGCTTCAGTATTCATTTCACGCGGTTTTTTTGTGCTCCCGGAAGTGGCCTTCTTTCTCTCCAACCCTTTTCTCTGACTCTTGTCTAAATTTTACTTCTCGTCTGAAATATTTCTTGTGAGTGGAACAAGAATTGAGGAGTGGAGAGGTTTAAAACTCTGAGCCTTCTCTTAGTCACAATCATAGCTGATCTTCACAATAAACTTAAGAAGTAAGTAAGACTTGTTCTATAGTGGAGAAATGCAAATGCTTAAAGATGTTAAATAGCTCAATTACACAACACACTGGGAAGTGACAAAGCCAGCTAGCCAGAGGCAACATGTCCCAAGTCTAAATCACGTCTTTTACATTCATGGATTGTGGCCGGCTTTCCACTAACAGCCACTGTTTTAGTCATCAATACACATGCCTTGTCCCTCCACGTTGTTCTTAAATAGTCTACCTCCTACTTCTCTGCCGGGCACTGAATTTTTTGATAGTCACTTATTTCACAGAATAAAATTCAGCTCTTCCGTGTAAAACACTAGACGTGCTGTCCAGAGGTACCACTCAGCGTCTGAAAGAACATTTAACACTCACGAGTGTTGGCCTTCATGCTGAGAGACACGTGCACATCCCAAGGCCTACCCTGAGCCAATCACTTGAGAATGGTTTAATTGGTTAATCATATAAATTACAATCACTTAATCATTTTAATCACCATCAGCCAATTAGCTTAGAGTTATGGGCTCCGTGGTAACTGTTATGCAAATGTTTGTTCCACAGCAAGCTATTAGGGGCCATATTTCCTCTGCCAAGCTGACAGAGACCGATGGCGGGTGAAGAAAAGGAAAGTGGGCATTTGTTTAAACTTTTTTCGTGTTGGGCTATAATGAAGCAGCCGGAGCGGGGAAGCGCCAAACTCGGGCTGTCCTTATCGTTCTCAATGGAATTTACCGAAGGGAAGAAAGCGCGGTCCCTTGAGGGAGGTGCAGGAAAAAAAAAAAAGAAGGAAGAGGAAAGAGATTGAGAAAATGTTGGATCCAGACTGGGAATTTCGCACACAATTGCTGAAAATGGCAGCTTTGCAGATTACCTAGTCTGCGCGGTCATGTCGCAGATGAGGAAACCGAGGACCAATGAATGGACATAACTTTCACTGCTGTCCTATCTCCATCAGGCAACAGGGAGTGGCCACTAATAATAGAGAGGTATTAGATCCAGTTCAGACTGAGCACTCCATCTATACTGATTTTATAGTAACAATGACAATTCTTCCACAATAGACATGAGGACTATGTATAGCCCTGGACACCAAGATTATCACTGGGGAGCCAGGACTTTTGAAAAAATGTCTCAAAAACTGGTAATGTGAGAGTAATGTGATCTGCAAATTTAGTCTTTAGTTTATAGTGCCTGGCTCATAACTGCTCAATAAACACATATATGAACCTAAGAGTCAGGGACATAAAGGAGTCAATCTACTTGAGGGTGGCTGTTTGCATGGATAACACAGTGTATCAGAGCTTAAAATCTGAGCACCCTGTGTTGCAGAAGGCTATGGATGACGGTGACAGCCTACAACCCATTCGCAGAGTCCCCACGTAGATTCACCTTCCACCGGACTGCTTCTGCTCTGTCACCAAGATGGAGATATAGGGTGGCAATGGGTCAGAACTGACCCCAGGACAGTGAGTTTGAGGTGTTTTCAGTGGATAATCTTGGTCTCCGGTTGAGCGCATTGGAAAGTAGAATACCTCCACCCTTCTCCAGCCAGCCCAGGGTGTGTCCTGGATGGAGATCACTGTACTGAGGACAGTACCAAACCAAACTCACTGCCATTGAGTTAATTCTGCCACATGGCCACCCAATAGCACAGGGTAAAACTGCGCATGTGGGTTCCGAGACTGTAACTCTTTACGGGAGTAGACTGACCCATCTGTCTCCTGTGAAGCCACTGGTGGTAGACGTAAGTCATGCCCTTTTAGTTGTGCCCTGAAGGCCTTGATTGAAAGGCATTGGACCTTTCTTGTAACCTCTTCTATCTAACATATGTATGTATCCCATCACAGCCCTGATTCCTGCTTCTGTAGTCTCACCCGAAACTATGACCTATTGATCTGTCACCAGTCACGAGTATGTGACAGCTCCCTTTGTTCCTTGCCTGTTTAACTGGCATCCAACTGAATCCTCCATTTGACCTCATGTTACTGGCCTCTCTCATCTGGAGGATGTGCCTGTGGGTTTGTGTTGCCTTTGTCTCTTTGAAGACTTAAGAAGTGTTCTCCTTAAGTGGTATTTGAGGTTGGGATCTAAAAGAACAGTTGGCACCTGTTGTACAACCTTACATTTCACACAACACTTGTTCAGTAGAACTTTCTGTTGGGTCGTCAACAGAGTAACTAGCTCATAATCTCTGGCCTTCGGAAGTGCTAGGTCGAAGAGGAACACTCAGAATCCCAAAGAAAACACAAATGTCGGGAATGTGCGTGAAGTGACAGGTGGTGCCCAAAAGACATTTTGGGGTTATGACAGACTGTTTTTTCCCGAGGAAAGCCTTAACTTTCCTTGAGGCTTTGCTTGCCTTTGCTCAACCTGAGGCACATTTAAGGAGCCCTGGTGGATTAAGTTTTGGGTTGCTAAGCACAAGGTCAGCAGTTCAAACCCACCAGCTGCTCCTCAGAAGAAAATAAGGGTTTCTACTCCATAAAGATGTACAGCCTTGGAGACCCAGTTCCATCCTGCCCCATAGGGTCACGATGAGTTGGAATTGACTCCGCAGCCGTGAGAATGCATGAGTAAAGCACATTTTAATCATACACATTAGACTTCTTGTGTCCCATGTGCCGTGCAAGGAGCTAGGCAACCAGCACTGAACATATAATGACATAGTGTTGGTGGGTGCAGAGCGGTGAGGTCAACTCTTACAGGCTGACAAGTCATGGAGAGCTTCCTGAAGGAGGTGGGATTTTATCCGGGGAGAAATTGGATAGGCAAAAAGCGATGTAGCTAGAGTACATCCTCCAAGGGGTAAATTAATTTGGCATTACAATTTGAGATCTATACAGATCTGAGTAGTCCATATCATTAATGTAGTGAGTGTTTTTCCCCAAAGGCTTTCTAATTTCCATTTTAAGAACTTTTAATTGCCTTCCAGCAATAACTAGCCCTGCTTTAGCTTGTGTTTTACAGGACTCGGAGGTGACGAGCTATAGGTTGGTGGATCAGGAACGGGTTTCCTGGTGGCTTCCTGTTGGAGCTGATGGAGCCAAATGCATCTCCCCTCTGCCTTGCCTCGCTCTCTTTCTTTCTCACACAGGGAAAATGATCTTGACCGAATCTACTACTGTTGAGGGGGTGGGAGGAGATGCAAAATATGGCAACAT